GCATCACAGCACATGCACACGAGGAAGCCCAAGCAGACGAGTTCTGAGTCGACTCAAAAGGCATGAGTGTATCACAGCACATGCACACGAGGAAGCCCAAGCAGACGAGTTCTGAGTCGACTCAAAAGGCATGAGTGTATCACAGCACATGCACACGAGGAAGCCCAAGCAGACGAGTTCTGAGTCGACTCAAAAGGCATGAGTGTATCACAGCACATGCACACGAGGAAGCCCAAGCAGACGAGTTCTGAGTCGACTCAAAAGGCATGAGTGTATCACAGCACATGCACACGAGGAAGCCCAAGCAGACGAGTTCTGAGTCGACTCAAAAGGCATGAGTGTATCACAGCACATGCACACGAGGAAGCCCAAGCAGACGAGTTCTGAGTCGACTCAAAAGGCATGAGTGTATCACAGCACATGCACACGAGGAAGCCCAAGCAGACGAGTTCTGAGTCGACTCAAAAGGCATGAGTGTATCACAGCACATGCACACGAGGAAGCCCAAGCAGACGAGTTCTGAGTCGACTCAAAAGGCATGAGTGTATCACAGCACATGCACACGAGGAAGCCCAAGCAGACGAGTTCTGAGTCGACTCAAAAGGCATGAGTGTATCACAGCACATGCACACGAGGAAGCCCAAGCAGACGAGTTCTGAGTCGACTCAAAAGGCATGAGTGTATCACAGCACATGCACACGAGGAAGCCCAAGCAGACGAGTTCTGAGTCGACTCAAAAGGCATGAGTGTATCACAGCACATGCACACGAGGAAGCCCAAGCAGACGAGTTCTGAGTCGACTCAAAAGGCATGAGTGTATCACAGCACATGCACACGAGGAAGCCCAAGCAGACGAGTTCTGAGTCGACTCAAAAGGCATGAGTGTATCACAGCACATGCACACGAGGAAGCCCAAGCAGACGAGTTCTGAGTCGACTCAAAAGGCATGAGTGTATCACAGCACATGCACACGAGGAAGCCCAAGCAGACGAGTTCTGAGTCGACTCAAAAGGCATGAGTGTATCACAGCACATGCACACGAGGAAGCCCAAGCAGACGAGTTCTGAGTCGACTCAAAAGGCATGAGTGCATCACAGCACATGCACACGAGGAAGCCCAAGCAGACGAGTTCTGAGTCGACTCAAAAGGCATGAGTGTATCACAGCACATGCACACGAGGAAGCCCAAGCAGACGAGTTCTGAGTCGACTCAAAAGGCATGAGTGTATCACAGCACATGCACACGAGGAAGCCCAAGCAGACGAGTTCTGAGTCGACTCAAAAGGCATGAGTGTATCACAGCACATGCACACGAGGAAGCCCAAGCAGACGAGTTCTGAGTCGACTCAAAAGGCATGAGTGTATCACAGCACATGCACACGAGGAAGCCCAAGCAGACGAGTTCTGAGTCGACTCAAAAGGCATGAGTGTATCACAGCACATGCACACGAGGAAGCCCAAGCAGACGAGTTCTGAGTCGACTCAAAAGGCATGAGTGTATCACAGCACATGCACACGAGGAAGCCCAAGCAGACGAGTTCTGAGTCGACTCAAAAGGCATGAGTGTATCACAGCACATGCACACGAGGAAGCCCAAGCAGACGAGTTCTGAGTCGACTCAAAAGGCATGAGTGTATCACAGCACATGCACACGAGGAAGCCCAAGCAGACGAGTTCTGAGTCGACTCAAAAGGCATGAGTGTATCACAGCACATGCACACGAGGAAGCCCAAGCAGACGAGTTCTGAGTCGACTCAAAAGGCATGAGTGTATCACAGCACATGCACACGAGGAAGCCCAAGCAGACGAGTTCTGAGTCGACTCAAAAGGCATGAGTGTATCACAGCACATGCACACGAGGAAGCCCAAGCAGACGAGTTCTGAGTCGACTCAAAAGGCATGAGTGTATCACAGCACATGCACACGAGGAAGCCCAAGCAGACGAGTTCTGAGTCGACTCAAAAGGCATGAGTGTATCACAGCACATGCACACGAGGAAGCCCAAGCAGACGAGTTCTGAGTCGACTCAAAAGGCATGAGTGTATCACAGCACATGCACACGAGGAAGCCCAAGCAGACGAGTTCTGAGTCGACTCAAAAGGCATGAGTGTATCACAGCACATGCACACGAGGAAGCCCAAGCAGACGAGTTCTGAGTCGACTCAAAAGGCATGAGTGTATCACAGCACATGCACACGAGGAAGCCCAAGCAGACGAGTTCTGAGTCGACTCAAAAGGCATGAGTGTATCACAGCACATGCACACGAGGAAGCCCAAGCAGACGAGTTCTGAGTCGACTCAAAAGGCATGAGTGTATCACAGCACATGCACACGAGGAAGCCCAAGCAGACGAGTTCTGAGTCGACTCAAAAGGCATGAGTGTATCACAGCACATGCACACGAGGAAGCCCAAGCAGACGAGTTCTGAGTCGACTCAAAAGGCATGAGTGTATCACAGCACATGCACACGAGGAAGCCCAAGCAGACGAGTTCTGAGTCGACTCAAAAGGCATGAGTGTATCACAGCACATGCACACGAGGAAGCCCAAGCAGACGAGTTCTGAGTCGACTCAAAAGGCATGAGTGTATCACAGCACATGCACACGAGGAAGCCCAAGCAGACGAGTTCTGAGTCGACTCAAAAGGCATGAGTGTATCACAGCACATGCACACGAGGAAGCCCAAGCAGACGAGTTCTGAGTCGACTCAAAAGGCATGAGTGTATCACAGCACATGCACACGAGGAAGCCCAAGCAGACGAGTTCTGAGTCGACTCAAAAGGCATGAGTGTATCACAGCACATGCACACGAGGAAGCCCAAGCAGACGAGTTCTGAGTCGACTCAAAAGGCATGAGTGTATCACAGCACATGCACACGAGGAAGCCCAAGCAGACGAGTTCTGAGTCGACTCAAAAGGCATGAGTGTATCACAGCACATGCACACGAGGAAGCCCAAGCAGACGAGTTCTGAGTCGACTCAAAAGGCATGAGTGTATCACAGCACATGCACACGAGGAAGCCCAAGCAGACGAGTTCTGAGTCGACTCAAAAGGCATGAGTGTATCACAGCACATGCACACGAGGAAGCCCAAGCAGACGAGTTCTGAGTCGACTCAAAAGGCATGAGTGTATCACAGCACATGCACACGAGGAAGCCCAAGCAGACGAGTTCTGAGTCGACTCAAAAGGCATGAGTGTATCACAGCACATGCACACGAGGAAGCCCAAGCAGACGAGTTCTGAGTCGACTCAAAAGGCATGAGTGTATCACAGCACATGCACACGAGGAAGCCCAAGCAGACGAGTTCTGAGTCGACTCAAAAGGCATGAGTGTATCACAGCACATGCACACGAGGAAGCCCAAGCAGACGAGTTCTGAGTCGACTCAAAAGGCATGAGTGTATCACAGCACATGCACACGAGGAAGCCCAAGCAGACGAGTTCTGAGTCGACTCAAAAGGCATGAGTGTATCACAGCACATGCACACGAGGAAGCCCAAGCAGACGAGTTCTGAGTCGACTCAAAAGGCATGAGTGAATCACAGCACATGCACACGAGGAAGCCCAAGCAGACGAGTTCTGAGTCGACTCAAAAGGCATGAGTGAATCACAGCACATGCACACGAGGAAGCCCAAGCAGACGAGTTCTGAGTCGACTCAAAAGGCATGAGTGAATCACAGCACATGCACACGAGGAAGCCCAAGCAGACGAGTTCTGAGTCGACTCAAAAGGCATGAGTGAATCACAGCACATGCACACGAGGAAGCCCAAGCAGACGAGTTCTGAGTCGACTCAAAAGGCATGAGTGAATCGCAGCACATGCACACGAGGAAGCCCAAGCAGACGAGTTCTGAGTCGACTCAAAAGGCATGAGTGAATCACAGCACATGCACACGAGGAAGCCCAAGCAGACGAGTTCTGAGTCGACTCAAAAGGCATGAGTGAATCACAGCACATGCACACGAGGAAGCCCAAGCAGACGAGTTCTGAGTCGACTCAAAAGGCATGAGTGAATCACAGCACATGCACACGAGGAAGCCCAAGCAGACGAGTTCTGAGTCGACTCAAAAGGCATGAGTGAATCACAGCACATGCACACGAGGAAGCCCAAGCAGACGAGTTCTGAGTCGACTCAAAAGGCATGAGTGAATCACAGCACATGCACACGAGGAAGCCCAAGCAGACGAGTTCTGAGTCGACTCAAAAGGCATGAGTGAATCACAGCACATGCACACGAGGAAGCCCAAGCAGACGAGTTCTGAGTCGACTCAAAAGGCATGAGTGAATCACAGCACATGCACACGAGGAAGCCCAAGCAGACGAGTTCTGAGTCGACTCAAAAGGCATGAGTGAATCACAGCACATGCACACGAGGAAGCCCAAGCAGACGAGTTCTGAGTCGACTCAAAAGGCATGAGTGAATCACAGCACATGCACACGAGGAAGCCCAAGCAGACGAGTTCTGAGTCGACTCAAAAGGCATGAGTGAATCACAGCACATGCACACGAGGAAGCCCAAGCAGACGAGTTCTGAGTCGACTCAAAAGGCATGAGTGAATCACAGCACATGCACACGAGGAAGCCCAAGCAGACGAGTTCTGAGTCGACTCAAAAGGCATGAGTGAATCACAGCACATGCACACGAGGAAGCCCAAGCAGACGAGTTCTGAGTCGACTCAAAAGGCATGAGTGAATCACAGCACATGCACACGAGGAAGCCCAAGCAGACGAGTTCTGAGTCGACTCAAAAGGCATGAGTGTATCACAGCACATGCACACGAGGAAGCTTAATCACCGCTGCCACCCTAAACTGCTCCCCCACCACCCTTTCTGCCATCCCACCCCTTCCGCACCCCATCCCACCCCTTCCGCACCCCATCCCACCCCTTCCGCACCCCATCCCAGCCCTTCCGCACCCCATCCCAGCCCTTCCACCATCCCCGCACCACCCACCCGTGCTCCTCCTCCACCCCATCCCTCGCACCACCACCGCACTCACCCCAAGCTTTCTGGCTTTCTGCACCGTGCCCTCGTCGCAGAGATGCAGCCCCACCACCTGCACGCCACAGCCACAGGGGGGCGGGGAGGGAAGGAAGCGTGGGTTGATGGTGGAAGGGGAGGGCATTTCACAAACGCTGTGCCACAGCAGCAGGGAGGGAAGAAGTGTCGAGGTTAGCGATAGATGGGGCACAGCACAGCCAACTGGCGTGCTTGGCAAAGGGAGCGCAGGTGGGATGGGGGGTTAGTGGGGGAGGGTGCTCATGTGGGGCTGTGTGGCGGATGTGAGGTGGTGGCGTGGAGGCATGCGCAGGCATTGATGCAATGGCAGAACAGTGGCGGGTGTGCTGGTGGGTGTGCCAAAGCGTACCTGAGAGTCAAGTGTCTCAAAGGGGTTCTTGCCGGTTGTTGTGGACACTACGTGCTCTCTCGTTGCCATGCGCTTCATCTGATGCCCAAATAAGCGGATAGATATGAGGGAGAGAATGGAGGAAAGGAAGGGCAAAGACAAGGTGGCTTAGGAATCGACTCTAATGTGCTCCCTCGTTGCCTGCCAGCGCTTCACCTGATGCCCAATGAGGGGAGAAGGCGGCACAGATTCGGAGTGGAAAGGGGGGTCTGGAAGAGAGGGGGGTGGGGGGAAGTGGGAGGAGGAGGGGGGAGGGATGGAGGAAGGGAAAGCATAATGAGTCACGTCTTAGCATGCATCAGCACCAGCACTCCTCCCAGGAGACAACAACCCACACCGTTCACAAGGCTCCGGTGCATCCCTGCCCTGCCCTGCCTTGCCCTCCCCCTACCCCGCCCTCCCCCTGCACTGCCTTCCCCTCCCCTCAGTTTCCCTGCGCGCACACGCACGGGCTCAAGGTCATCAACACCCAGCCCAGCAGCTTCTCGCACAGGAACTTGGGGCGGTTGGACGGCACCCCTGCCCGGCCCTGCCCTGCCCTGCCCTGCCACCCCTCCCCTTCCCTGCTCTGCCCTCTTGCCCTCTACTCTGCCCTCCCGCTTCCCCCCTCCCCTCTTCCCCCATCTGTCAGGGCACGCACGGGCTCAAGGTCGTCGACGCCCAGCAGCTTCTCGCACAGGAACTTGGGGCGGTTGGACGGCAGCACCACCCCCCCTGCACTACCCAACCCCCTACCCTGCCCTCCCCCTGCCCTGCCCTCCCCCTGCCCTGCCCTCCCCCTGCCCTGCCCTCCCCCCGCCGTCCCTCCCTCCATGTGCTCCCCCACGCACGGGTTCGAGGTCGTCAACGCCCAGCAGCTTCTCGCACAGGAACTTGGGGCGGTTGGACGGCAGCACCACGTGCCGCTTCACCAGCGACCGCGCGTGGTACGGGTTGTGGCCTGGAAGCAGGGGGGTGGGAGGGGGGGATAAGAAGGCGGGGGCGGGGGGATGGGAAGGAAGGGGCGGGGGGGGAAGGAGAGAAGGTGGGGGGGGGGGGGGGGGGGGGGGGGGGGGGGGAGGGAGAGGAAGTGAGGGGTGGGAGGAGAAGTGGGGTTGGACGGCAGCACCACGTGCCGCTTCACCAGCAACCGCGCGTGGTACGGGTTGTGCCCTGGAAAGAGTGGGGGGGACGGAGGGGGACGAAGGAGAGGGAGAGGGGGAGGGGGGATTGGGTGGGCAAGGGTGTGATGAGTTTCAGCGCCGAGATGCTAAAGGAAAGTGGGACGCAAAAAATCTTGCACTTGGGGTGGAATCAAAACAAGGGGTATCGAAGGGCAATCTATATATTCCGACATAAGGCATTTACCCCTCCTCCTCCCACTCCTCCCCTCTTGCCCCCACTCCGTTCCCCCCCTCCCCCCTCGTCCTCCCCCCTTATACGCACCAACAGTGATGACCTCAGCACCGCACCCCAGGCTGACAATCGTCCGCGCCTGCAGCAGCGCCATGAGCACCCAGCTCTCACACCGCGACTGCGAGCACAGCCTCCCGTCCGGGCGCCCAAACGCCAGCAGCGTGCCGCGGCACACTCTGTGAGTAAACCTGTGCACCAGATGATCTATGGGGCTCGCCCCATGCACGTCCAGCCCAGCCACCCAGTAGCTGAGAGCGAAGAGCTTGGAGACGTAGACTTCGAGGGATTGGTGCACCCAGGGCACGTCGGCTATGACGACTGTGCGCTTGCCCAGGCGGGCTAGGAGGTCGCGGCCGGTGAGGATGCGGAGAGGGAGGGCGATGATGAGCGGGAGGAAGCAGAAGAGCAGGGCGTCGAGTGCGCGTGCTGTGTAGAGTAGCGCGTCTGCTGCTGTGGTGCCTGGGGAAGGAGGGGAATGGTTGAAGTGTGAGTAGGGGGGGAAACGGGTTGGGAGGAAAACGGTTGGGTTTTGAGAGGAGGCAGGAAGCGCATGGAAAGAAAGGTTGCATTGTCGCACGCATGTGCGTGTGCGGTGGGGGCAGACCGTGAGGCAGAGAGGTGCAGCTGAGTTGAGGAGGCAGGCAGGCATGGTGTCAGGAGGCAGGCAAGCGTGCCAAGGGAGGTCACTCACTTTGTGTGGGGATGGCCTTGGCGATGGAGGTGAAGATGGGCACGGCAAACACCACAGCTATGAAGATGTAGAGCGAGCTGATGGCCCATGCCATGGGCGTCTCCAACACATGCAGCGCCCACTGCGGGGGGAGAACGAGAGGTGTGGGGGGGAGGGGGGAAAGGGTGGTTGTAGCTAGGTTAGGTGCGTGCTTTGGTTGACGTAGAGCGAGCTGATGGCCCATGCCATGGGCGTCTCTAACACATGCAGCGCCCACTGCGGGAGGGGGCGAAGGGGGGAGGGGGGAGGGGAGGCAAAGGAAGGGTGGAGGGAGAAGAACATGGGTGATAGTGGAACTTTCATGCCTTGTGCAGCATTCCACACGTTGCACCACCACCCACCACTTGCATTCGTGATTCAGCACGGTTGAAAATTATATGATTTTCAAAGCACATGCCGTGGGTGCATGCCCACCAGGAGCCCCTGCATTCGGAGAGCGGAGTTAACAGGGGAGTGCACGCGGTGGCCTCTTGGCGTCCACCCGACAATGTCAGGAGCGCTCTTCATCACCACGGCATCGCGCATGCGCTCCAAGTCCGCCACATCCCCCCCGCTCAACCGCAGCCCCAGCGGCCGCTCCACCCACCGCCGCGCCGCCCCATCACTCCCCTCTCCCGCGCCTCCCCCGCCGCCCGCGGTTCCCCTTGCGCCCCCGCCGGCGCCCACGCCAGTGGCGGTCTGTGCGCCGAGCTCTGTGGCTAGCTTGGCGGAATCCGCGTTGCTTCTGAGGGTGCGCGCGGCGTGCAGTAACAGCTCTGTGAGGGTCGCATGGCACGCCACTGCCGACACCGTTGCCGGCTCAGCAGACCGCCATCCTGCATGCGTGTGCAACACACGCGCGCACCACGCGCCATCGCTGCCCGCAGCAGAAGCAGCGGCAAGAGACAGACCCACAGCCGTGGCCATCTTGCAGTCGAGCATGCCGGTGCAGACGAAGACGCGCCCAGGGCAGTGCTTGGCGAGGATGCGGGTGGCATGCAGCGTGGGGAAGGTTTGGCCTGACTGGCTGAGCGCGAGGACTATGGCCTGGCGCGCAGGGAGGGCTGCGCCCAGGCGTGAGAGAGCGAAGCCTGCTGTGCTGATGGCGCCCCTCGCGTTGCCCATGACGCCGATCACCTTGTTGGCGCTCACTGCCACCACTCGCAGCTGGGGGAAACCTGCACGATGGGGCGGTGGGGGAGACGAGAAGGGAAAGGGGAAAGGGAGGGATGGAGGTGGTGGAGGGAAAGAAGGGACTGATGGGAAGTAGGGAGGAAGGGATGAAGGGAGGGGGGGGGGTGGTGGTGAGGTTGTGGGACTGCAGGTACATACATGCATCGTGGGCCATGCCTATGGAATTGGTGGTGTGGAGGTGGGACGTGGAGAAACGAGAAGGGTGAGGGGAAACTGGTGAAGATCGAATACAGGGTGGGATGAGGGAGCGAGAGAGAGGAGCAACGCGCATGAGACTGGTGGCAAAGGGAGTCAGTAGGGTTGGTCGGGGCGGGGGCAAGTCAGAACATGGACTGACAACATCGCCTGTGAGTTGTGTAAACTAGCAGTTCCATTCTACATGCATGACGAGCATGTGCAAGGCCAGAGGTCAGAAGGGACAGAGGTGAAGCAAGGGAGGCGAGGTGGGAGATGCGAAGTAAGGGAAAGGAGAGGAGAGGCAAAGAGAAGCGAGGAAGAGCAGCAAGGAGAAGCAAGCAGGCGTACGTACAGTTTTGCAGGTCAGCAGCGAACTGCTCGCCCACCCAGAGCGACGTCTCCACGCCCGTGACAAGCACGTCGATCTCCTTGCGGCTCATGCCCCCCGCCGCCTCCCCTGCTGCTGCCGCTGCCTCTGCCTTGGCCTGCAGCATGGCCACCAGCGCTGCTGCCGTGCGCCGGTTGAGCGACCGCGCGTCCTCCCAGTCCGCCCTTATGGACTCCAGCACGCGGGGTATGGCCTGGTGGGGGAGGAAGAGGGCGGGAGAGGGAAGAAAGGTGGGGAAAGGAGAGGAAGGGGGAGGAAGCGGGGGGAAGGGTGGGGGAGGGAGAGGAACGGGGAGGAAAGGGGGCAGGGAAGGCAGGGTAGGGCAGATTAGGCCAGGCGCGCAATAGAGGAGAAAAGGGAGTGGAATAACGCACATGGCTGTAGCAGAACAGAACATTGGACATGGTGAGAAGGGAGTGTGAGTGAGCGTGCTTGCATCGAGACAGAGAGAGGAACCTAGAGGGACAGTGGGATAGTGAGATCGTGCATGGGAGAGGGGTCGTGGAAGCGAGAGGGATAGCGAGAGGGGGAGGGATAGTGAGAGCGAGAGAGATAGTGGGAGGGGGAGGGGTAGTGGGAGCGAGAGAGATAGTGGGAGGGAGAGGGGTAGTGGGAGCGCGAGGGATAGTGAGGGTCGAGAGGGATAGTGGGAGGGAGAGGGATAGTGGGACCGGGAGGCGGGATGGAGTGGCATCAAAGCAGAGTAAATTTTGAGACATCTCAATAAACAGAGGGAGGAGAAGGGAGGGAGTAGTACCCTCAGGTCTGCTTCCACGAGGTCACGGGGGGGGGACGGGGTGGCAGAGCAGAGGGCAGCAGGGCCCCAGGCAGCATGCAGGTCGTCAGTGGGAGTGTCCTCGTCATCTGCTGCGAGGAAGGGGTTGTTGCCCACTGGGATGAGCCGCTTGCGCTGCAGGAACTGCGTCTGTGGGATGGGCATGAGGGGGAGGGGGAGGGGGGGGCGGGGCGAGGGTGAAAGAGAAGGAGATTCAGGGGGGAGGGCGTGTAGTGCTGCCGCCAGGGAAAGGGTTGCTGCCCACTGGGATGAGCCGCTTGCGCTGCAGGAACTGCGCCTGTGGGATGGGCACGCGGGGGTAAGGGGGCAGGGGGAGGGGAGGGAAGGGTGGAGAAAGGATGCAGCATTAGCGAGGGGGTATGGTGGTGCTTCAGAGGTAGGGTGAAATGAGAAAGAGAGGTGCACGTGTCATGTGCATGCTGTGTCAACATCCATGACCCTCGCCCTCCTTGCTGCCAGCCGCTACCCCTTGGTTGGTAAGAAAGTGTGGTGAGGCCATGCGGTGAGGAGGGCACGTGAGGAGGGCATGTGAGTGAGAAGGGCATGTGAGTAAGAAGGGCATGTGAGGAGGGCATGTGAGTGAGAAGGGCATGTGAGTGAGAAGGGCATGTGAGTGAGAAGGGCATGTGAGCGAGAAGGGCATGTGAGTAAGAAGGGCATGTGAGTGAGAAGCGCATGTGAGTGAGAAGAGCATGTGAGCGAGAAGGGCATGTGAGCGAGAAGGGCATGTGAGCGAGAAGGGCATGTGAGCGCGTACCGTGGTGACAGGCTTGTTGTGCTTGATGCTGTACAGCTTCACCCCCACGAACGCCAACTCTGGCAGCTCCAAACACCCCCCCTGCTCCTCCTCCTGCTCCCTGCCCGGCCCATTCGCAGTCCCGTCAGCCAATCCGTTCTCCCCCTTCGCTGCCTCACCATTGGCGGCGCCTCCCCTGCTTCCACCACCCGTGCCATGCGCACCCACCATGTCCCCCTGTCCTCGCATAACCACCTCCATCACCTCCCCTTCAGACTCATCCAGGTCCACACGGTATGCTATCCTCCTCCCACTGCTGCCACCCCCCGCCGCTCCCCTTCCAGCAGCAGCAGGAGCAGGGGCGGGCGAGAGGGGAGTGAGGAGAGAGTGGGATTCAGAGGAGAAGAGCACGGTGCGCGAGTGGGGGGCGAAGCCCAGGGCCAGTGGCTGGTTGCGTGCTGCCAGCACCACTCGATCGCAGTCGGCTGTGCATGCCGTTGTCATGCCGAACGAACCCTGAAAGGGGAAGAGGGGGAGGGAAAAGGGAAGGGGGGAGGGGAAGAGAAGGGGCGAGGGGAAGAGTAGGGGGGAGGGGGGAGAAGAAGCGACTTTTGAGTCAACTTGAAAGTCAGCTCGGCTGTCAGCACCACGCGGTCACAGTCTGCCGTGCATGCCGTTGTCATGCCGAACGAACCCTGGGAGGGACGGGGGGAGAGGATTGGGTTTCGAGCGGATGGCTGCTACCAGTGTGCTGATGAAAGAGGGTACTTGCACGTTGGGCAGAACACATGCAAACGCACATACAAAGGCGCATGCATGCAGGCGCACGTGCAGCAGTCCTTCCCCACACGTCCACGACCCCAATGGTCCTCTTCCAAAGCATAGAGGACTTACCATCATAAAGACAGATTTGCTACACTCCCCAAGTGAATCTTACTCCCACTGCTGCTGCCACATGTGCTATGGCCTTCAGTTGGATCGTTCCATCAAAACGGGTAGCACACACGTGAAGTACACATGCATGTACGTTTACCTGTAAACCCGAAACCCAAAACCTTCAACCCTGAGGAAGCAGCTTAGGTGTAGCCCACCTTGGTATTCTCAACAAGCTTCTCATCTCAGCAACCCATAAGTGCTTGCACTCAACTGAAAGCACGCCCACTGCTACCTTGGCGTTACCTTGAAGAGCCCACCTTGGCGTTTTCAAGGAACTTCTTGGCGGCCCAGTAGAGATCATTGTCTAGGAAGTTGGCCACAGCCTGCCGCACAAACACCTGCAGCAGCGCCGCTGACAGCCCTGACAGACACTCCGGCAGCTCCCCCCCTTCATTCTTCTGCGCCTCCCCCCGCTGCTGCTCCTGCTGCTCCCTCCCCTGCGCATCCCCGCTGTTCCCCAGCAGTGATGGCTCCTCTGAAAGCTCCTCGCCCTCACCCTCACCCTCAACCACAGCTGCACCCACAGTCACTGCTACACTGTCGCTGTCACTGCCAGCAGCAGCAGCAGCGGAGGCGGTTAGGCGGGGCAGGGGGCGGGAGTGCAGGGCGGCGAGGATGGCGTCCTCTAGAAGCGCCTCTCTCCCTGCCATGGCGGCCCGCAGTGCCGTCACTGGTGGGTGGGATCAGGGGAGGGAGAGGGGAAGGGGCGGTGGCAGGTTCGTGGTGAGAGAGGAAGGGAAGAGGAGTGCAGGGCGGCGAGGATGGCTTGCTCTAGGAGCGCCTCCCGCCCGCCATGGCGGCCCGCAGTGCCGTCACTGGTGAGGGAGGAAACGAGGAAGGGTTGGTACAGGGGAAGGGGGTGGCATGGGGACAGATGAGAGAGAGAGACGGGAAGGAAGGGGATGCTGTGAGGGTCAGGAAGCATGAGAGCGTGGAAGGGGGTTGATGAGCTCGGGTGCACGAGGGGAGGAGGTGGAGGGTACGGTTGGCCTCACTGAAAGCCTTTCACACACATCGGTGCTGCACCTATGCATCCTCTCCTACTGCTTGTGTCCGCCCAACAGAACCAGAAGAGGAACGCAGATTCTCGTGCTCTTAGTGTTTCATTCTGTGACGTGATGTGATGCGTGCTGGTCATTCCAACCAGCTCCCACTTGCCTGAACCACGTGGGGCAGGCTTGGCAGCAGCAGAACCCACGCCCTGCATGGCCTGCACCACATGTGCCATGGCGCGCTCTGCTGCAGCAGCCACAGGGGCAAGGTCCGCGAGGCACGGCAGGGGGTGCGAGGCCTGGGGCGACAGCACCTCCTCATATGACATCACCACGGTCTGGGGTGGGGTGGGGGGAGAGAAAGGGTGGGGGGAGAAGGGGGGTGGAGGGGGGAAGAGAGGCCTGGGCCGACAGAACCTCCTCATACGACATCACCACCGTCTGGGGGTGGGGTGGAGGGGAAGGGAGAGAGAGAAGGAATTTTAAGGCACCTAAAACATCGTCTCAATTAAAGACGCGACGCTCTCCAGATTCTCTCAGTCTATGTCGCTTTATGATTGGGGTCGTTAAGAGATTGCGCCAGGAGTGAGGTGGCAAGGGCACTTGCTCATACGACAGACGATATGGGAAGGTGAGAAGGTGGTGGGGAGAAAGGCAAGGAGAAAGACGGGGCGGATTCGTGCTTTGAGCGGCTTGGAGTGGTGGAAGGAGGTGCATGTGAGGGAGCAAACGGGGAGAGACCGATTGACCCTAAACCCTGAACCCCGAACTCCCCAGTGCACCGCCCGCTTCCATTCCGCTTGGATACCTCACTGAGAGGGCAATGTTACTTTCCCCGTGCTGTGAGAGGCCCAGGGAGGTGGGGTGGAAGGAGGAGGAGGAGGAGGCGCGAGGGGAGGGGTAATGGGGGTCTGTCTGGCCTGGTGGAAGGCAAGACGGATTGAGGGCCGGCAGAGGGCGTGAGTACGGAGGAGGTCCATGAGCGGCCCAGGGAGGTGAGGTGGAAGGAGTTGGGGGGCCGGGGGTGGGGGGCCGGGGTTGGGGGGAGGAATGGGGTCTGACTGACCTGGTGGAAGGCGAGGCGGATGGAGGGCAGCCAGAGGGCGTGGGTGCGGAGGAGGTCCATGAGGCCTGCGATCATGACACTGTCGCACTGCGCTGGCTGGTCGCGCTCCAACACCACCTCCAGCCACGGCCCCATCTCCGAATGCGTGCGGTCCCTGTTAGGAGGAAGGGGCATAGTGCCACACCAGACAATGCCGCACCACATCACACCGCACCGCAGCACACCACACCACACCACACCACACCGCACCGCACCGCACCGCACAGCAGACACACGAGGGTGAGTTCTTGCCTGTCGTTCGTTCACTGCCACGCACCAATTCGCTGCCCTAAGAGTCTCTCAGAGTGTTTCCATTCCATCATAAAGCATCAACGCACTCTCATTGCTTGCCACCGTTCACACCCACTGGGTTTAACAGCACGGCACACATGCAGCGCAGCAAGACCCTGCAGGCAGTGCACGCACAGGCTTATCACCTTTGCCCTCCTCTGCCCCTCTACCCTGCTCTGCCCTGCCTTCTCTCCTCTGTTCCCCACTGACCTGCCAAAGAGGTTCCAGAACTCGAAGTCGCCATTGTGGGTCACATACACGCCCACGTTGGTGGGCGCGCAGGTGATAGCGCCCGTGCCCGCGTGCACGCGCCACAGGGGCAGGCGCCTCTCGGGCACCCACTGGTGCGGGTGGGTCTCCCCCACAGACGGCACACTAGACGTGGCAAAGCGCGTGTGCCCCAGAAACACATGCACAGAGGACGCACTGTCGTCACCTGCTTTCCCAGTGCTACCCTCTCGCGCTGCTGCTGCTGATTGGCTGGGTGCAACTTGAGGTGAGGGGGAGAGGCGGAGGGCTTGAAGAAGGTAGGTGAAGGGGCGGACGAGGAGGGCGAGGAGGAAGGAGAGGGAGTCGGAGAGGCTGTTGAGGAAGAGAGCAGCGCGGAACTTGGAGATGAGCTGTGCGGTGTGGTGTGGTGTAGTGTGGTGCAGGGCACGCATGGGGCAACGACACACAGAAATGAGGAGGTGAGGTGAGATGAGATTGAGTGGGGGCTGTGAGGTGATGGGATGTATGTTGTGTAGTGTGGTGCAGAGTGGTGAGGCCCCTGAGGAGGATTCGATGAGATGTCCATAGGAAGTAGGTACGAGATGCAGGCAAAACGTCATTGTGTGATTCCAGTTCTTGCTCTTCAACTCAAAAACCCAGAAATATACATGTTCAACGCACGGACAGTTCTTGCTCTTCATCCCACGCGCTTAATGCTCTTCAATGTCTCTCCAGATCAACAGTTGTGTGACTCTCAAATACCAGCCTCAACATACTCCTACCTTGCTTTCCCCCCCGCTCGTCAAGCCCTCCTCCCCACTCCCGTATCCCATCTCCCCGCAATTTCTTCTTCCCCACACCCTGCCCTTCCCATACCCGCCCCCCACCCTTTCCCCCTTGCGCGCGGACCTGGTGGGAGAGCGACTGGCGCTTGGCGGGCTTGGCGCGCACGCGCACGCCCGCCATGTCGTCGCGCCAGGTGCGCACGAACGTCACCACCCCGCCCGACTGCCCCCCGCGCTCCGACGAGATGGCCGCCATGCGCTCCAGCACGCCCAGCGCATCCACCGCGCGCTCGCGCCCCCATGCGCTGGGGGGAGAGGGAGAAACGCGGGGCGGGGAGGGGTGTGGGGGGGGGAGACGGGGGGGAAGCGAGGGGTGGGGAAGAGGGGGAGGGGGAAGGGAGGGAGGAGGGGGGGAAGGGGGGGGGGGAGGGGTGGGAAGGGGTTTGGCAGGAGAGAGGTTTAAGATGAAAGGGGTTTGGTGGGAGGTATAGAGAGTTTTGAGCGGACAGTAGAAGGAAAATATTGGCATGGGGAGGGGAGAGGGGAAAGTTGGCGGGAAAATAAAATAAAAAAATACAAAAAAAAATTGGCGCAAATGCGGGGAGAGGGGGGGGGGGGGGGGGGGGGTAGGTGAAAAATTGGCGCAAATGCGGGCGAATTGGTGCGCACATGGCGGCAGCGCGCATCAAGGCGCGCAGAACAGCACTCACTGCAGCGCCGAGCCTGATTGCGCCATGATCATGCCGAAATTGCCGCAGAAAAACCGCCACACCACCTGCGGACCGCCGCCGCCGCCGGTTGCCGCATTTAGACGGCAGTCCGCGCGATTATTCGCGGGGTAGGAAAACGGGTGGAGGCGGAACGCGTCGGAGGCGAGAGACGAGACGGCGCACACCGACACTCCCAACGCCACGTCCACCAGCCACGCGGCGCCGCTGCTGCTCGCGGCTGCAGGGGCATCTGCCGCCCCGGAAGAATCCACAGAACGGGATCGGAGAAACAACGCGATCCACGCGAGCACGCTTAGGAAGACGCTGAAGACCCATCCCGCGTGGCGAATGATCGCCGCCTCGACGGACGACGACTGGTAGAGCGACGCGGGCGATGCGCACTTCAGCGACGCTTTTGTGAATGTGCGACAGAACGGCGTCGCTTGCTCGCTGGAAAGGTCTCGTCGCGCGGAGAATTGCTCGCTGACTGTGTCTCCGTTATTCACGGGGAGAGACGGCGCCCCGTGAGCTGACGTGGAGGACGGGGTAAGGAGCTCCGGGATGACGACGTGCGGTGCGAAGGTTCTAGGAAGCGGTACGATCGGGCACAGCGATACGAGCCAGTCGCTTCTGCTCACGTTCCCTCGCATGTTCTCGCCGCTCCAAATCGCTGGCGACTGCGCCGCCGGCCCTTCCGTCGCATGATCCCCGTCGCCGGCGGGTGATCTTCCCATTGCGACGCCATCTTGCGATCGCTGGCAGCTGCCGCGCCACGTGAGCTTCCCGCCATGACACCTGCGGTTGGCCGGCGCGGCGTCAATTGAACGGGATAATGGTGGCTTTTGAGAGGGTTCGCGGCTCGGGCCTTCGATCTGGCGCCGCGAGATGACGATGGAGGCAACGACGAGGTGACTCCACTCGTGGAGAAGCGTGCTTATAATGAGGGCGATCCGGAAGAGCGCGAACGTCGCGACATCTGACGCGATGTCTAGGAGTGCTGATGTCAGCACGGAACGCACTTCCAGAGGTAAATGCGACTTCGAATTGACCAGAGTTTCGCCCAAATCACTTCCGAAGGCTATCCAGACTCTGGAGATTATTAAAATGCTTAGAACGAGTGGGTGGGGTGCTGAATGGAGGGAGGAAACCGAGAGTACTCGTAGGCACAGCCTGAACAATCCGTGGGGTTCCATGGCTGTTGCACAAAGATCATTGCATGATGGAGTTCGACTAAGGCCAGTGATTGTTCACGCTCGCCAAAACTGTGATAGCAAATGGCTTCAATAACGAACGCAGCAGAGCAGGGAGGAATGAAATGGTGGGGTGGTTGAACATTTCGCGCGAACACAACAGACGAGGAGGTTGCCTGCCTTGAGTTCAAGTCAGAAATTCGTACCCTCCTCAGCCGAGTGGCGAGAAATGCAGGAGGACAACCTCGAAGAGAGCAATTCGAGGTAACCTCCCCAATCCACAACTTTCGAGACGGTGAGTGTCCTAGTTTCCCCAAGACCCTAGTTTGAATTAACTGAAGCAACTAGGACCTGAGGTGTGGTGAGGACCTCACAGCGTTCCGCCCCCCTGGATACGACCCGCCCTTGATTCCAACTTGCGTGCAGGGTAGGCATACATACAGCTCTGTACAATTCAGCGGAAACCAGTACAATACACGTAATCCTGACAGTAATTGCTTACAAGTTGAGTCGAGTCCGCCTCGACCCAAACCAAGCCCACACTTGCTCGTTGTGGTCCTAAGCGAGATAACAACCCGTGGCTCCAACCGAGGGTCTACAAGATTAGGGTGTTCGGGAATAACCCCCCCGGGATCCGAAGTTTTTCATGTTTATACAGACTGCTCCACCTGCTGAACTCAGGTTGGCAACTCTTCTTCATCCACACAACCCCCAAGCCGCCTCGAAACTCTATCTGATCATCATTTACTGAGAGCGTTTGATTGGTTGAGAAATAGGGCGGCCTTGAGAACTCGCTCGGCACAATTGCCAACTGCCTGTTCCTCGAGGTTATTTGAATGGCTGAGAGTGGCGAAAAGCGAAGTGAGCTCCGTGGTGACTTGGAATTGACGTCAGATGCATCAACACATCGTCCTCACAGATGATGACCTGCTACAAGATGGCTCATGAAGCCTCCAAGGGTCGTTCAATTTTGTTTGTGCTCGACGTCATCAGCGCATTTCAGCAGTTGTGAAGTCAAGCCATATTTTATTTGGTACCTCTACACCACTCGAGTTTCATCCAACAAATGTAGGTGGCTCTATGTGTGCAATGCACTATCGAAGCAAGAGTGTTAAAATATGTTACGATATGAAATTACATGATAAGGCATTCCTGTATGCTGCAGGAGCCAGCTCTACCGAGTACGAAGTCGAGGAGTCAGAAGAGTCGAAGCGACGCAGCAACCGTCTAACCAAGACCGATGCAGGCAGAAACATTTGAAATGAAAAGAGCGGGAACAGGTTTGAAACGCATTCCCACGCCGCACGGTTTTGAACTCGCTGCAATAAGGGAATGTACCCCTTAGAGTACATGCAGGGCTGATTTTATCAGGGTAATTACCCTAATTTCAGGGTGATTACAGGCTTCTCATCTGGGGGTCCCTGCAATTTCAGTTTTTTTTAACTTGTGAACTCTGATCCAATCAGATTAGTTACTTAACGAACCCTGAAATCTTTTAACTAGACTCAGAGTAGTGTTTTGCGGACTATGTCTATGCAGAGTATGCGTTCGGTGGACCCTGAATGCGAGGGTATCGGGACGAAGGTTCCTCGAAATTTCCTGTCGATAACCCCCCCTTGTGCGTAATCATTACTTCGCGTGCCCCCATGTGAGGTACCCTGTTCACGCCCTGGACTGACGTAATACCGACAACGAATTCCAACACCGTGCTGTACAGACAGCTGTCAACAGTGACAACGCACCCAAATCAATGATACGTTGCTGCCACGCGCACCTCGCAGTGCACAGCATGCCTCTGCCATTGGCCAGAACGGCATGTTGACAGTATGCGGTGGCAGCCCAGCAGTCCTTGAATGAATTCGGCCTTGCATTTACGGCCGAATTCAGTGACGAATGTTGCCATCAACCTTCTGGCGTCGCGCCGCGGTGGTTTCGTGATGACCCCGCCATCTCCAGCCTTCCCTTCCTTCCCCCTACCCACAGCCAGGCTTCCTTCGCTTCTTGTTTTTTCATCCATTTCGTGCGTTCAGTATCACACTTTCCTCTCGCTTCATCTTTCCCCTAGCTCGCCGCCATGGAGGCCCTGCTGCCGGCCGACGAAGCTGCTCCTCAGACTGGCCCTGACGAGCCACCTTTACCGGCGAAACCGACAGCGCCAGCCCTGCTGGAGAAAGCATCAGATGCTCCTCGGTCTGGGCTCGATTCTCTTAGAGCTGCCGGTGCTCCGGTCACACCAGAACCTCCTAGGTCTACGGTTCATGACTCTGCTGCTAAAGTAACCCCTACTCCTTCTGATTCTCCACGTCCTGTCGCCTTCACTCTACCCCCGGCTGTTGCTTCTTGCAGCAAAGATCCCCCACCGCCTTCGCCTAGCCCCACTCCAAGCACGGTGCGTGTGTCTGTTGGCCCGCCGTCTGCTTCTTCCACCCCCAAGCGAGCGCGAAATGGGAAATGGGCGCAGAGTACTCTGGTCGTCAGAGTATTCCACCGCCTGACAACGACAAGCCGGCAGATCCTCCACCAAAAGAAGCTGAGCAGCCGGAGGAAGTTGACATCCCTGTGCGCGCGGATACCGGCTCGCCTGCACTCACCAAGATGCAGCTGCGAGAGCAGGTGTACCTGGAGGCGAGTATTAACTACGAGACGAAGTGGTCGCAACTATTTTCGTGGCTGGTGTTTGGGAAGACCAAGGACGGTTTTCCTTATGTGAAGTGCTCCATCTGCATGTCGTACGCGAAGGGGAACACGAGGTATTCCATGCAAGGTGACGACGGTGGCCGTGACTTGCAGACGCAGTCGTTCAGGGCGCACGAGCATACGGACGCACACAAGGCGGCGGTGGATCTGCAGTTGAAGCTTGCGGCGGGCATCCGCGAGGGCCAGCAGGCGATTTCTGACTTCATCAACTCCGACGTCGAGAGGTGGCGCGCGATTCGACTCGTGCGGTCTACGCAGTTCCTGTGCCAGTGCGACGCGCCGATTAGCATGTTTCCGAAGCTGATGCGGCATTTTGCGGAGCAGGACACGCCAGACATTCCTCGACAATCTTACGGCGTGTATCTGACACGGTATGTCATCTTACCGTTAGATTGCAGCGTGACATATGTTGCATGTCTTTTTTGTATTACGTTCCTGACCATTTCATTCTCCTCTTTGCAGATACGGCTTCCAGCAGATGGTTCACAGCATCAGTACATACCTCACTCGGGTGCAGATGGACAACATCCTGTCATCCCCCTTCCTGGGCATTCAGTGCGACGAGAGCACCGACCGAACGCGAGGGAAACACATGATTGTGTACCTTACGTTTTTTAAGAATCGCCAAATCGCATGCGAGTTCTTTACATTGCTGACGGTTGAGCGGTGTGATGCAGGGTCTCTGTTCGAGGTGCTTCTGAACCATCTCCGCTCCGCAGCCGTCGATGTGTCCAAGATCGTCGGCATCAGCACGGATGGGGCGTCGGTCATGACCGGGAAAAAAAACGGATTGGTGGCGCGTCTACGGGAACACGTTCCGCACCTGTTTTCATGCCACTGCATCGCCCACCGGTGTGTATCAAGTTTCCTAGTTGGTTTGGTTTTCTACGTTTGAGATTTACCCATTACATCTTGATTTGTATTCCCTGCATCCTACAGTGAGGCGTTGGCTGTGAAGGACGCCGCTGAGTCAAACGAGGATTTTGGCATGGTCGACAAGGTGGTGCGCACAGTGGCGACGCTTCTCGGAAACTCAAGCGTGTGGAGTCAGCGGTTCAAGTACCTGCAGCGAGTGATCTACCAGACAAACCTCGAGGTCCAAGGGATCCACACGGTTTGATGGCTGTCACGAGGTGATGCGGTGCGCAGGCTGTGCAAGGTCCTCGGCGCTTGCATCGTGCTGCTCTGGGAGCACAACCACAAGGCCTACGAGATTGTGACGTGCTACAAGTTCCAGTTCTGTTTGTTTTTCCTGGCTGATATTCTGGCCGACATGAACGACCTCAACCGCTGCTTCCAGAGGCGCGAGGTGAGGATGAATGCTAGTATGATGTTGAGATAGGAAGTGTAATCCTACACTGTTGCTAATCCTACTCCCTGTTGTTGATTGCTGGTGTGACAGCTGGATGTGACTGAGATTTCGAAGACTATTGAGTCCACCACGGGTGATCTGACGGAGCGCTACTTGACGACAAACAAACCATTCGGGGGCGAGGGGAAGAGCTGGGTGTTACACTTCCTCAAGGTCCACAAGGAGGGTGGAGGCAAGCAGGTCCGGGTTCGAGGCGTGGACGGAGAGGGACGCCCAATCAACCACCTCTACACAATGCATGAGAGGAAGCTGAAGGGCCACAAGCAGGGAAGCACCTACGCATGCTGCGTGAAGCTGTGCCGCCAATTTGCCCGCGACTGCGTGGACAACCTCAACACCCGGCTGGATGACACCAGGCCCGACGAAGCTGTTCCGGGCGGGGAAGTGGCCGAAGATCAAGGCGCAGCGAGAGAAGAAGTGCGAGGAGTGGCTGCACGGATGCAGTAGGCTCTTCAGCCACAAGCTGTCGGGATTCGACCTCAAAGCAACAGAGAGGGAGCTTCCGACATTCTGCGCGATCATGGAGTCACACCATGGGATGGAGAGCTTCTCCCAGGGCCTGAACAACTTTCTTGGGAGCGCAGACTCAAAGAGGTAGGCCACTGCATGCGAACGAGTGTTATACCTTGTTGATTTTTAACTTGGTGTTTATTAACATGTTGAATTCTAAATTGTTGATTTTCTAAGTTGTTGATAAATTTACATGTTCTGTTGTGTTTCGAATGTGCCTGACAGGAGATGGCCCAACCTCATCCTGCTGTGGCAGGCGCTGGCTGTGCTTCCCCTCTCCACCGTGGAGTGCGAGAGGGGGTTCTCCAGGCAGAACATCATCAAGTCCTGGGTGCGAGGAGCACTCTGCAACGCGCGTCTGGGGGAGCTGATGCAGATATCGCTCCTGAAGTACGAGATCGACTGGCCGGAGGCACTGGAGGTGTGGAGGTCCATGCGGAGGAGGCGCCCTATGAAGAGCCTGAAGCTGGCCGTGTCAGAGAGGGAGAGGAAGGGGAAGCAGAAGGAGGATGCAGCTGTGGCTGCTGGAACTGCCGGGGAGAACGAGGACGAGGGGGAGGAGGAGGAGGAGGACGATGAAGTGGAACAGGACCTGGGCGACGACCAGGAGATCGTGGAAGAGGAGGACAACCCTTTCCTGCCGGACGATGTGGACGTAGAGGAGGTGTACTTCATTGACAAACCCGTGCATTAGATAGTCTAGGAAAATTCAAGCTGTTGTATCACTCATTTTAAATTGTAGTGCAATGTTAATAGCAACCCTGATTCTGACCTGTGAACCCTGACGGATCAGAGTAGGACTTTGTTTGACACTGAGCTATCAGAGTAGCTACTCTGTGAAAAATGTGCGATCATAATAGAGGGCGAAATTTCTTCCCGGAATCAGGGAGGCCTAAAACGAAACGTCAGCCCTGAGTACATGGCTAGCCTAGGTCTTTTCGTATTCCCCTGTATTCTTATATAAGCCTGATGTATGCATGCTATTATCAACTCAGTCATTTACATTCACTCTGACCTGAGATTCAAACTTCCGCTGCAACACTACTCTGCAATCAACCCTGAGCGATCCTTCGCTAAGTCCCACTTGGGATTGTAACATGGTATGAGAGCTACTCAGGGATTCTTCGCATCTTCACTTCCGCAAAATTCGCCAAACCAAGATCTGGCGAGCGGCACACGCTCCAAGACCAAGATGGCCGGAGGATCCGGAGGCCAAGCAAATCTGACGGCTGAAGGACAAACCAACCCGGCTGCGACAAATGAGGGGACAACTACGATCGGCAATGCCGCACTCGAGCAGTTATTCGCTCGACTTTCAACTATGGAGAAAGAACTCCAAGATTTGCGCAAAGGCGATGCGGGAACCTCTTCCCGACCAGCTCAACCTGGACAACCGGCTACGAAAAGCCGTGATACCGCCGCGCACACCTTCTCCCTCGACACAGACAAATCAACAACAACTGCCCCCCGTCCAAGTGATGAAGTCATTAACTCTGCACAAGCACGCTTCCTCAGCGTTTCAAAAAATAAGACTACTGCCGCATTTGACGGCAAAGATTTCTACACATGGAGTTTCGAGCTTGAGCTCCTCCTACAGACGGCGCAGATCTACCATTACATCGACGGCTCCTATCCTAAACCGGTGGACGACACCGACGACGCCAGGGCTCAGTACTACAGCGAGTCCCTCATGGCATATAGTGTGCTGCTACGAAATATGACGCCTGCGGAACAACTCAACATTCGCTCCTACAAAGAGAGCGCCGCTCCAGCCCTGGAAGCCTGGAAGCACCTCGTTGAGGTCTATCAGCCGAAGGATTCGGTTACAGCCAGCAGGCTCCTGCAGCAACTCATGGAGACAAAGATGGGACACGGGGAGAAAGCGAATTCTTATATTAACCGCTGTAGGAATATCCGTGACCAGATCACGAAGCATGGAAGCGCAATCTCGGAAGAGATCTTTGTCAACATAGTCCTTCAAGGACTCGGGCCAGACTGGAAGCCCTGCAAAGCGCTACTCCGACAACGAGGAACTATCTCAGAAGCCGCGCTATGCGCCGCACTCCTGACTGAACAGCAGGACATGGACTCGAGCAGAACAAGCTCCGTGCCGCGCCGAGAGCGCCTCGCCTTCTACGCAGACAACCGTGAAGAGCGACGACAACCAAGGCGCCGCTATTGCAAAATATGCAAAGTCTTCGGACACTCAACGGATCGATGCAAATTCCGATCCAACTATCGCCACCCAAACTCCACTCACCACAACAACTGGGTCGGTCGACAAGACGCTCGTCATCCTCAACCACAGTATCAGACACCTCGTCCCCCTACACAACATCAACATCAGCAGCCTCAAGGACCCCAATCAGGAGCTCCTAGAAACATCATCGCAAACATGGCGACGCGTCGACGTCGCACTGCTGAACCTGACGAAGAAAATGAGATCCAAGGAAGACTCCTTGAACCAGAAGAGGGATGGAATAATCCCCTTACTGAAGATCACTATTACCTACACGACGAAGACGAGCAGGATTGGAATCAGCCAATCACATTGCGGGAAAGCCCGCCACATGACAACCAACACTACGTACTTGTGGGATGGAAGGAAGACGAAGACCCCTTCTTCCACAGGCGCTACAAAGCAACCCTGTTCACTCCGCGACTGGCGCTACTTCTGCGCAGAAACAATACTGACAACCACAACACCTGGTACATGGACAGCTGCTGCGGACAACACATGGTGGGATCCACTCGATACGTCTCTAACCTGAGTCGCGCCCCCGCAACCTACGTCACCGTCGCCAACAATCATCAACTGCGCGCCAACGTACAAGGCATCGTCGTCCTGCAAGCACGAGACAGCAACACACACATTTCTTTCAACGACGTGCTTTACGTCCCGGATCTCCACTTTAATCTCCTCTCGGCAGGACAACTTCGCGACTACGGCGTCATACTACCACGGCCCTCGCCACACGCGACCTCATCCTCACCTACGCTCCCCCGGACACCCCTCCGGAATCGTTCAAATACCTCAGACGAGCCCGCTCAATCAACGGGATCTACGTCCTAGACTTCGACATACCGTCCTGCCAAGCATCATCCGACGAGCTCGTGGACCTCGTCCCTCTCGAGTTCGCCTACATGAACAAGGAATCATGGGAACACCCAGACGGACGGCCATGGATTCGCCGCAGCCCTCATCCTCGCGAGATCAACCTGCACGAGCCAAACATCAATGGTCTCTGCACCACCTGTCACACGCCCACAGCAAGCCACACAGAGCAAGTGGAGAGAGATTATGCGGCAATTCCAGAAGCGGAGAGTGCTGAGACAGAACCAACAGGCATGGCTGCAGAAGAACTCGCTGTGTCGTCTTACCGCATCTTCGGCGAGGCAAACGGCGACTTCGGACATCAGCGAGTGGAGCGAACAATGCCATACTCGGAAACGCTCCGGTTCGTCCTAGAAGCCAACACCAGCACCTTTGATGAAGATGGACGACCGCGCCCGTACACTCGCGAAGTCTACCGCCGCGAAATTGACCCGGCTTGGAAGGATCCTGACGCAAAAGGGGAGCTGAGCGTCAAGGAAGAACAAGACAAGGCCAGGGCAGAAAAGAAACAGAAACTGTATGAGGAACGCGTTGCGGCTGGATGGGACGAGGAGTCTGCACGACGAGGCGCATGGGGAGACGAAGATTACGAACCAGAAGAAGGCGCAACCTGGGCATCCGCCACTGGAGCATGGGGAGCCAGCACCTGAGGCACGGTCACTACGGGAGGATGGGGAACAGCCAAACCCGACGAAGGGGAACTTACGCAAGAAGAATTAGAAGAAGCTGAACGGGATATGAAAGCTGAGCGCGGAGAAGAATCACCATGCATGGTCATTCCCCTCGGACGACCCCCACGCACTCGTGAACCTCCTCGCTCACCTCATCGCTGGAGTGATCCCTGGTCGGAGATTGAGGAGGGGAATATACCACCAACTCCTCCGCGGGACTCACTTGGTCCAATCTCCCGCCCGGATCCGTTCGCTCCTTTCATTGAAGGCACCACGACCCCGCTCACCATTATCCCCGACCGTGAATTTCTCGCCCTCTACCTTACAACGGCACCTGCAGAAGGGGAGACAACGGCAGAAGCAGAAGTAGAGGAGCCGGACAACGAAGCAGAACCAGGAGAAGAGGAAGAACCCCCACTCCAGATCCCGCAAGAAACGGAAGCAGAAGCAGCAGAACATTACGCTCGCTACAAGTGCACCTCTGGTATTCGCGCCGAAGATGATCTCTGGCACCAGCGGCTGGGCCACCCCTCGTGCCAGACCCTCGCCAACTGCCTTCGTGCTAAGGTTTTTCTGCCAGGAGCACTGCTGCGCCCCGACGGAACAGAACCACACAACACCCCACACCCGATCACTTGCACTGTCTGCCCCACAGTTGCGCTCTCCCACAACGCCTACCCCTCTCTGGAGCCGAGCACCAACCGCTACAAGAAACTGGAGAAAGTGTACAGCCACTTCATCGTGCTCACCTTCGACGGCATCAACAGCGAGAAATATACTCTCACCTTCATCGACGCCTAGTCACGTCACGTGTGGATTGCCAACGTCGACACCCACTCCAAGGCCCCAGAAGTCTTCCGCATCTGGCTCGCACACGCGCAACGCCAATCAGGAAGGAAGCTGAAAATCTGGCAGAGCGACGGAGCCAAGGAATTTCGCAGCAACGAACTGGAGAGCATCCTTATTGAGAAGGGGATCAAGCACGAGATTTCTCTCCCCTACGCACATCAGCAGCAAGGCGTCGCAGAGAGGGTTAACCACACCCTCATGACAAAAGTGCGCGCCCTCATGAACCAGTCCGGCCTACCTAAGAAGTTCTGGCCCTACGCCATGAACCACGCGGTGCGCCTGCACAACCTCCTCTCCACCAC